TATATTTACATACATCTCCAGTCTCATTAGCTTTGCACAGGCCAGAAGACACTTGTCCACCATCCAGCTTTAAGCAGATGCCAGGAGATTGCTCTCTGGGGCAAAGTGAAATGATTTTGCTGTCATTCTCAATGCTTTGTATATCTTTCTAAACAGCTCCCTCTATATACCTCTCTGTGCTTTTGATAATGTGTATTTCTCTATCCTTACCATGTTTATATGAAGCCTATTCCATAGAGGAGATTTCCAAAAACATGGGAACAGTTAAAAGACCTAAATCCATATGAAATCCTATAGAATTTGTTGCTTATTTTGCACTGCTGAGATTGCCCCAGAAAAGGTTTTAATGATGACATTGCCCCACATCCCTTTTTTCCTCATATGTATCAACCTACCAAGCTGTTGTATGAGCGCCAAATACTCTTGTTTCCATCAGGACACACCAGGTTAACTGAAACAGGTGAAGCAAACTCAATCTAAGTTTACTGTATTATCTCTTCTCAGCCAGGAACTGAACCCTGGAAAATATCCTGGGTCTAATCTCTTTATGACAGAGGCTAAAGAGTCTTTGTTCCCCTGTCTTGTTCCAGCTCAACCTCCCTCTAACTCTAGAAGCTGCCTAGGTGCCATCACCAAGTAAAGAACCAAAGCTGGGAGCCCAGGAGCCAAGTATGTGCTGTTGATGGGGATTTGCCATGACTGATGAACTCCAGCAGGATATGTAGGTGGATGGATTTTTCTCTGAAGAAGGTCATCAGCCTGGCCAGAGGCATGGCTCTGGTTTTCCCCTGGAGTAGGGAAAAGCACACCAAGGTCAGAGAAGCACTCCTGAAGGTTGCATCAAGTCCAGCATTCTGGTGGCACTTCAGTGAGGAATTGCCCATACATTAGCAATGTCCCAGCATGGTTTATACATTGCCTGCAAAGCCTTTACTATCACCCTGGGGCTACCCAGCTCCCGTCTGTACATCTATTATAGCTCCACATTGATTTATAAATGCTTTCTTCTCTCTTGGCTGAAACCATCACCAGAGGAAAAGGCCTTTTCTTGCAGACATCTCATTTCTGCCTTGTCTTTTTAGGCGCAAACTGGGGAGGTAGGAAATTCTCCCATAGCTTCCAGACTTGGAACAAGCTGGAAAGCTGGAAACAAGCGCACAATGCCAATGTTCTAAAGAAGCTCAGATTCAAAGTCCTTCAAGGAGAGTTTGGTGAACACCATGGCAGCATATGAAGTGACCTGTGCCCTGGGTGCACAAGCACTGAAGACTCCAGAGACTTCTGAAGTAGTGCTGAAGGACTATGGAAGGAGTCAAACCTAATGCAGACCTGGACACGTTGACCTGTGAGACCTATGCCCAGAACAGTGTCTCTCTATGGTCCAGGACAGTGCTAGTTGGCCTGGGCCAAAACCATGGCAGATTATGCCAATATTTGCATAGTATCTTCTATTTAATATTTTCATAAATGATCTGGACAATGGGATCAAGTGTACCACAGTAAAGCACTCTGCAAACAGCTAATGGAAAGTGCAACAGAAGAGCAGAATAGCTTAAGGACTCATGCAGGCAGCTTCATAATATCTCAGCTTATCACAGCCAGGAATAACACTCTTCTTTTTCCCCAAGGTGGGGGGGGGGGGGGGAATTCTAATGCTTTTTCATTATAAAATATATCGTGGCCAAAAAAAAAAAAAAAAAAAAAGGAAGAGGAATAAGGATTAATTGCATGATCTTGTGTATCCTGGGGAGTTTTCAGATAAAGAACAGAGAAAAATGTTCAGAGCAAATGAAGAGCCAATTAATGGGTAATTTGTTTGTATCATTTAGCAAGTCCTGCTGAGCACCTGGGGGATGCTATTGCAAGGGAAGCCAGGGACTAGTTCTCCTAGATGTAAGCAGATTAGCTTTCCTTTTTCTAAACCTCATGCATTTTGTATTACTTCCACAGGAGGAGAGATCACAGGTTCATGTCCCTAACTTCACCTTGCCTGACAGAACTAATTCATCTTATACATCTGTCAGGAGGCAATGGAAAAGAGGTCTGTTTGTTAGGTAAGGTCAGTCTCCCACTGATATCCTGGGATTCATCTTGGGGTTGAATTCTCCCCTGCATAAAGAGACAGACACAAGGAAGTCATCCTACCTATCTTACAGTCAGGGGGCAGGTCCCAGACACATCTGTTGTCTCCCTCCCTCCCTCTCCATCATATCTCCATTAGTGTATCATATATATCAATGTTTTTATATCTATCAGCTCCAAAACAACCCTCCTGCCTGAGCCCAAATGTTCCCCACAGACTGTTGTTAGTTCTTCAAGGCATGAAAGTGCTAACTTTCAGTTGAATAACTGATATTTTTTATTGTCCTGAAACCCCAGGCACAATCTGAATCCTTCATGTTCTCCTGCACATACTGTACTAGATGCTGTATGAATCCAGAGAAGAAAGACACCACTACCCCAAGGGTTGCTGAGCTCCAACAGCTTAATGCACTTGTGACAATACAATGACTGTAAATAGCAATATGGGTATTATAACCACCCTATTTTCCACCCTATTGATAAGTCTCTACACAGTAAGGACTCTTGGCTCTCTGCATTTCCTCTCTTAGTAAATTATGTTTTCCTGGACCCCTTCCATGGTGACAAATTGCATGAAGCCCCATAGGCACGTTCTCTTGTTTAATCAGAAGGCTAAGTGGACTCAGATGCCTGGCCTGAACTCAAATTATGACGCCTGTCAGCAGTTGATGTGCTGCTTTCCTAACAGTCAGCTCTCACTTCTTGACACATTGCCGGAATCTGGTAAAGCAGCAGTGCCTCCTGAAAACATTTGTTACACCCCCAGCAAGAAGCACACCAAGTGACAAGTATGAGTCATTAGATGGAAGATCAGCAGACAGAAATGAATGCCTTTCTCAGTGAAAAAGAGCATCAAAACAAAAGAAAATTAATAAAAATGAAAAGCAGGGGTCTAATGTACTCACTGAGTAATTATAGCAACAAAAGCACGCACCAAGCTAAGAGCTTCTGTGGAAGGAAAAGCTGAATACTGAGAGTCCAAGCCTATTTGCTGCAGATTTCGATTCTGCTCCATTTGCATGTAGGACATATAACCTGCCCAGAACTCCCCACGTAAGAAGAAACCACATAGAGGCAAGTTTCCTGCATTTCCCCAGAGACTTTAGAAGCCTTTCAGATGCCCAAAATATGGGCTAGCTGGTAGCATTCTGCAGTCTTCCTGCAACCCAGTGTCCACCCACAGAGGGGTGAGAGCATAGAGACAGAGGGAAGCATGTGGCGACCATTTGCAGTTTCACCTGCAGATTCATCTCCTCACTGAATTTGCAATTTTCACTTGCAAATCTCAGGAATTTCCTCTGCTTTGATAATGCTGTAAGAAACCACTTGGATTTCTGAGTTCCAATTTAGAAAGCATAGTGTTACTAATCCAGTGATTATAATCCCCTTAAATTGCCCCTGGATTAATCATGGGAAAAAAAGATAAAAAGGTGAATGGATTTTTTTTTTTTTTGTGTAGTTTTAAAACAGAGTTTCTAGCTATTAAATGTACTATTACATCTTTTTCATTCTGTGGCAAACTTCACTGTCCTGTCTTTATTCTAACTATGTTAATAACATCCTAATAGTACCTCAAAGGTGAGGAAGTTATATTAGTTGCTCTCACTTCCTGTTTGGCACTATTGTTTTATGTTGCTATACACTGTGAAACACCATATCTCACCCAAAAAATCCTGCCAGTTTTCAAAAAGCTGCCATGTCTCTAAAAGAGCCCTTATTATCTGAGCTTCCTACCAGCACAAGTCAACCAAGCCTTTTCCTTTAAGCAGGTATCCCACATCTCAGGTTATTCAAGAGAAATGTCAGCCTTTATTTCAAATCAGTTTAACACTAAAAAATAAAATAATTCTGCAGCCACACTGAAATTCACTCAGGACAAGGTGTTCTGCTGGTGTGGAAAATAAACTAGCTGACTTCATCTCAGGAGGAAGCTGTGGTGCTGGAGCGTGTCCGTGTGTACCAGGACACATCATTACCCGATTAATGGCTAGAAAATGACATCTTGCAGAGCTAGAGATGGAATCTCTGCTGAGTTCCAGGGCGTTCATCTAGTGGGTTTCTCTCTCATCTGGCAACAATCCATAAATTGCCCTTGGGGAGAGCCTTTCCGCTAGCGTCAACAAGCAGTGTGTCCCGTCTTGCCCAGTAGAGTCAGGCTCATCTGAAAAAGTCAAGACGTGTTTTGTGCTATGTAGACAGCATCCAGGACAACTGGGAGTAAATGCCCCTCCTTTCAGGATCTCCAGCTCATGGACATGGAAAGCTAGCTGGGGCGGTAGGAAGAGAAGTGGTAAGAATCAAGGATAGAGGAAGGGGCATCCCAAAGTCCCAGGATACCTGGCTAGCAAAAGCACTGCTTTCCCACCAGTTCCTTAACCCTAACAGAAATAATTGAGTGGAACAGACTGGGTTGATTCTTGGAGAGCTGAAGAAAGCAAGTGTGGTTTTGTCAAAGGAACAAAGGTGATCGATGGGGCTGTGGAGACCATTCTCAGAACAGTAAAGCACCATGGATGACAGCACCATGATCAGGAGGGAGCCACAAGGGACTAGCCATTGACTGAGTGACGATGACCATTAAATGCTCTTGATCCTTGAGACTAAGTGAGTTTATTCATCCACCCAGGAGTGAGCAGGAAAGCATCAGCTTTTGGGGTGAAGTGAGACACAACCAGCTGAGGACATGAGAATTAGCCTATAAAATATGGCTCTGAATGGAAATTTGAAAAAAAAACAAAACGCGAAAGTCTGCATTCATAAATATGTGCAAGGGAGCTTGGAAGAAAGGCAGGTGCAGAAATCAATTTGTTAGAGAGGAAACAATCTATTTTCAACCTGACACCTTAATATAAGCTCATCTGATGACTAAAACAAAGATACCAATGTGACCTGAGATGCTTTGTCTGCAGGTTCAAGTGACATCCTTGCTAAACTCCTCCAGGCGTAGTAACCCAGGAGAGAGCTTTATGGGTCAGTAGTCCCCTGAAACTCCAGAGCTTCCTCCTCCAGAAGCTCTGTGTCTCTGCCATAAATTACATCAGTAATGTCACTTCAGATTTGGTGGAGCATCACTATTCAAGAAGCTTTCAGCTGTAACAGTACAACTACATGCTGGACATGCTGTTCTTAAAAAAAACAAAAAAAAAAACCAACCAACCAAACGACACTGAAAAAACCCCACCACTGCCAAAAAAAAAAAAAAAAAATCACCATGTAATTTTATGATATGCCAGTTGTATTTTCAGGATAAAAATGTACCTTGTAAATTGAAGGGAACCTATTTGATGTAAAATCTAGTGGAGGCAAGTTGATGAAGCTTTTCCCTGAGGGTGTTGTGTCCAACCTCAGGCAACTGCATCTCAGATACTGTAAAGTGAAAAGCAACCAGTGTCTTCTCTCCTTGAGGGCTTCAGAGTATGAGAGGAAAATGTGTTCAAAATACGTTGCCGTTTCCACAGTAATCTCTAGTTTCCAGCACTGCCCTCATTGTGATAGCTGTATTTTGTGTATTCATAGCATTGTTTTGAAATGAGAGTGCTTCTTTCTAATTCAGTTTGTTTATGTTTGCCTGTGAATGTGGACTAAGAAAATTCACAGATGTAGCATGCCATATCTGTTCTAGAAAAGAAAGCACATGCAGATGTCTTTTGTGATGGGAATGGAGACTTTCAGAGTAATTAAAAGCGATCCTTAATATACAAAACAGCCTCATTTAAGAATGAGTTCTTTTCTTGCAATTAGCCCCACAAAAATTAAAAAAAGAAAACCACACTTGCATTCACCACTCATTTAATTGGGAGCCTTTTTTTAAATGCAAGTTGTTTTGCTGCTACGTTTTCTAGATCCAAGTGTTCTGATTCTCTGCAATTACAAACAATTACTTGATTAGATGTGAGGCAGACCTAGCCTTTTACTGGTATCACAGCTTTCATGATTCACATGGTTAAAATGAGTTAAACAACATTAATCACTTCAGATTAGATACTCAGAGCAGGAAAAATTGACCAAGTTACCTTGACTTTAGTAAAGTTGCACAGAATTATATTGGGCTGAAAATCCAGTACGGGTACGATGGCATGATTAAAAATCAGATGGTACATAAAAAATCAGAGGCTGTTTGGACTGCTGTGTTTAGCCTTTGCCCTCCTTGAATTTGCCTCATTGTTTATTATCAGAATTATATCATTAACATTATTGGATTACCAGATAAAGTCCTCTCTTGCAATGAGCTGTAATAGCTAAACCATCTGTTTGTAAGTATTAAATCAACGTGCTGAGTCATATATCTACATTTGAGCATCCAGACCATTACAGAGACATTACAATATCTCCTTTAACCTTTCCAATGATCTAAAAGTTGTTGTTCTTTAGTCATGGCACTCATAAGACAAAAAAGGCCTTTCCTGGGCCCATGGAGAGAAGCCCAGGTGATGGGTGTATAAACAGCACATTTCCATGACTAAACCTCACCCATCCATTGCTGGAGAAACCCCAGGTTGTGGTGGAACCCAGTTTGGTGTGGTGGCACCCACACAAAGTGGTGTCTCATGAATTCCCCTGAGGCTGCTGTCTAAATATCTCCAAAGAGTAATTCAGGGTGGAAATATGGAAAGCATGGGAAACAGGGAAAGCATTCATGTTCCGGTTTGTCTCCTGGAGAGTTCTACCTGTCTGTCCAGGTGTCCTGCTGAGAAAGGCATCCATCCTGGCCTGGAGGATTAAACTGGCATTTCTACAGTCATGTCATTATCATCTGACCTGCTACTGAAAGGCAGCCACCTCTGGAGGGAGAAAAATACAACTAGTTCAATAATCCACAACCAACTTCACCCAGGGCTTTGGGTGGAGGAGCAAAATGAAGTGACAAGCTGCGAAATACTGACCAAAAAGGTAAGATGAAATTGCACTCAGTGGGAAATATAAGTCTTGCTTTCAGCTGGACTTGCTGGGATGAATGAGCTGGGATGAATGAGCTGGGAAAATTTAGCCTTTTCTGTTTTCTATTTATACTAATGAGGTATTCAAACTATTTTTGCTTGTGTTTTAGGGATGTCTTTTTTTAATTAAGTCAGGTTTTGGAGCCTTTTTGCCTTGGGGTTCTTGAGTTCTTTAGCTTTTTGCCTGTCTTAGTCAAGGGGACTTTTCATTCCTCCCCATATTGGTTTCCCAACAGTAAGGAAGGACTAACCAGCCCACAAGGTCCTATCCCACCTGTCACAAGCAAAAGTACCACCATCCTTTTCAAAACTGACTGAGCTCCATGCGATGAGTGGCCGCAATCTGTCCTTGGTTGCTTTTCACTGAACCTGTTCCAAAACATCCATTTCCTACTCTTTAGAGACCTTCTAATTGCACCCCTGAATTGATCTGTTTATCTTCATTTGCCTTTGTTTTGTCATTGTCCCTGGACTTAAATAACTTTTCTTTCTCACTGATCTTTGTATTAAAAACCACAGCAATTATATCACCACCCCGTACTGGTTTTGCTAATCAAAACTGATGTCTTCCTCAGTTTAGACCTCTTCTTTTTTTACCAGATCTTATATTGTCAACTCTGTGCACCATTCCCACTTCAAAGGCATCTTCCTTGACCACACAAGACAGTGAGAACGAGACACAGGAGCCCCAGACACTTCTTTCTCATGGGACCTGTGTTTGACAGAAAGATGCAGTCCAGCAATGACTAGACTACACAGATTGCCCCAAAACTTCTTCGGACCAGACAGAACCTGGTCCACCTCAGTCTTTTATGTCCCACCATCATTAAAAAAACAACACACAGGCAATCTCACCACGCCAAGCCTGAGCTATGGCCCAGCACAAGGACTCCAACCACACTTACATGGCTGTCCAGAAGCCATGGTGATATTTCTTCATGGCTCATCGTCTACAGCAGAGTGGAAAATGCCAACAAGCACATGTAAACAAGGCCTCCCAGTGGTGCCTCAGCTGCTCCTTCAGCCTGGCTGTTCACAGGCGTTTCATCCCATACCTGCCTTCACACAGAGCCAAGCATGGACCATTGGCAGTGGGTACACTACTTGGGTTGTAAAGGTCAAGTTAGCCAGTGGCCACGAATCTTCATTATTGGGAAAGTATTCTTTCCTGGCTTTCTTTCCCTTTTTCTGCATAACAAGATTTGCCAAGGCTCTATCCTGCCCACAGTGTTTCCAGGGGCTCCATACAGTAAACAGGCATACTCAAGATCTATCAAGCTGTATTCTAATTCAAGCAGTCAAGATCTTTTCAGCTCCTTCCAAACTGAATCACATCACACTTCATTCTTCCCTCCTGGGCAGCCCTGGCTCTCTCCCCTTTTCTTTCCCTCTCTTTTGCCTCATGTTCTCTGCAGAAGGGAAGAAACATCTGTTCCTCCCCTGTTTACAGCTTCAATGACACTCTGCTTCATGTTTTTCTCTTGGCCAAACCTATACCACTTCACACACACACAAAAATACGGTCAAGCATGTTTTTCTAAACAGGACAAAAAGTACAAATATTGTCCTTGGAGACACACAAGCACATGAAAACACATGAGACAAGGTCAGTTGTTAATCCCGTAATTACGCCTCCTGCTCCTTAAGAACAGTATTGTCTTCAAACTCACTGGGGATGGGCACTGTGGCTGGGGAGATGCTAGCAGGAGTTGGAAGTCAGCTGTGAGGAATTAAAAAATCAGCAGAGGCAGGAAGAGCTAATAAGCTTTCCACAGAGGTCTTGTGGTTTTAGGCACTGGCCCCAGTTCAGCTCAGCACATGCTGTGCTCAGCACGTGCTTTGCTGCAAAGCAGAGGAGTTTGGGACACTTAACAGCATATTGTGATTTCTGCAAGCACTTTGCAGACATGCCCTCTCTGAAATTTCCTTCAATACCTGTCCTTTGCATCTTTTCCATTTCACAGACAGACCATTGCTTCAGATAAAGACAAGCTCTATGTCCTCTCTTAGTCCTCAATGCATCTGGCCAGCTTGATATGGGATCGACCAAGCCCTTACACTGGGAGAAAAAGGTCTGGGTTGTAAGTGGAGCTGCCACTGAATCAGAGCTGTGGTTAGAGAGGTCTCAAACATCAGGGAGAGTCCTTGATTAAACCCATAGCAGTCAGGGAGCATTTCCACATTCTTTCAAGTGCTGCCTAGACCTGCTGGTACCAAAAGACCATCTTCATTAAAATGCAAACCAAGGGTGTACCCTGAAGCTTTTGCCCCAACATCCACTGGCAGATACTACTCATAGGTCCTGATCAGAGTACAAATGTACAGCTTATCTTCCCTCAGCTATGCTGAAGTACCTGCCCATGGGTATCTAAAGGGCCTCAGCAACTTACCTTGAACTCCCTCTAGATTTGAGGGGGTATGACTGTTTAGGTGAAACCCAGCAAGAATTTGCAGTTGTTAAAAGTTCCTGTTTGTGAGGGTGAAGGGGTTTGTCCATGCTAGGACTTCCTCCAAACTACTCTCTTAAAACTGCTTACTCTGCAGGAAACAAATACTTTAGCAATCCTTTCTTTCTCCTGGCTCATTTTCCTCCACAATTCCTCTTGCACGAACAACTAAATGGAACAAATTCATAGACCTTTTTTTTCCTAAGGCAACAAGGGACCGTTAGATCATTCGAGATTAATTTCCCATATAACACAGTGTTACAATACAGGGTTTTCCTTCAGCAATCAGTTGAATCCCTCCTATCTGTTTTTCATCAGAGAGGCACTGTTTAGTGCTTCCTGGGAGACCTCCTCTCTTTTTCCTAGTATTTGACACGACTAATCTCTTTGGCAATCCTTGTAGATGACTGTGAAACAGACCTCTCTTCCCAAACTTTTCTGAGCTTCTGGAGCCCCAGAAAGTTGTTTCTGTAGTGCTGAGGGCATGACAGCTCTGTGAAAGGGAGGTGCAGTTCAGATTCAATGAGTTTGGTCCATGCATTGAACAAGCATGGGATGGAAACAAGAAGTTCTACATGGGCAAAGTAGAGGCCTGTGCTCCTGATTACAAAAAGGGACACATGGAGGAGAAAGAAAGTGCAAAATCTCATTGGAAATCAAAAAAAAATTGGAGAAGGCAGTAAGATGGTGTACACATATATAGGTCCACGCATATGTCACACACAGACAACCCCTGCCAGGTCCCCCTCTAAACACTTATCTAGTCTGGGTGTCCCTTTCTTATAAAAAAACCCTACAATAACAAACCAGAAGCAGGGATGATGTGATTTCATCTCCCCCTGCTTTTGAACTGTTTTCAGCGAACTATGTTTGTTTGTTTATTTTACTCTTCCGAGTGCATTTTAAGGTGGTTTTTTTACGGGGGCTTGGACTTCAAAAGGCCTCAACAGATCCCCCTTTAAAACCAGACCATTAGTTCCCTCCCAGCTCCCCACCCTCGCCCTCTGTGGAAGAATATAAATATACAAATTAGTAGAAAATCTAAACAAACATACTTGTTATTCTGGTTTAAACTCTTCAGGAATATGTTAAATTCTTCATGCACAGTGCAAGCAGCAGCCTGACTAATGCTATGCATGCACTAGTCTCAGGGTGTTCCTCTTGAGATCACTGTGATGTCGTATGTGGGCTTTGATGCATGCATACTAATAATGAGGGAGCAAAGGGGTGTGTGCATGGGCCTGCGGGTGAAGAAGAGAACACAAAAATGACCCATGTTCATCTCTGTCACTGGCACAGCACAATAAAAAGGCTGAGGCAGTCAGAAAATCCCATTTTAGGGGCTTGGTGTGGGCAGCAGAGAGAAACCCCAAAAGGTCTGATCCAGTCCTTGTTGGCGTCAAAGCAAAAGTCACCCTTTGGTTTTCGTCAACTCCAAAGCAAGCCCTCAGGACATGGGTCCACAGTCCAGGAAAAATGGGAAACAGGTTGCAGGAACCAAAAATGATTGGGGGGGGTGGGGATAAAAAAAAAAACACAAAACAAACAAACAAAAAAAAAACAAACCAACAATCAAACAAATAAGAAAAAAAAAAACAAAAAAATTATCATCTGTTTGAAGCATTAACCCTCACTCAACTGTATTACCTTAATTCCCACAGATCCCACTGATCTTCTTGGCTCAGTCCTTCCCTCACACTAAATATGCCTGTATGTCATTCACACAGACCCTCTCCCCTCTGTCTTAACCCCCAACCCATGTCCTCCCTACCTGGATGCTCATCCATGTCTGTCCTTGGTGGTCCTCCACTGCTGCAGATGGAGCATCACACTTCACTCATAAAAGAGAAATAGCAATATGTTTGTTGATGTAAAACAGGGATTTGACAAAGATTGTTAGTAAATAGGATAGTGGTTTAACAAGATTCGATGGCCAGGTGCACTTGAGTATTTACTGCATAGAGTGCAGTGTCAGGCAAAACTGTCAGGGAGACCCTCCTGCTGAGTCGTAAGGTTCAGAAAGGACCCTTGAGCTCTAAATTCCTTCTCAGAGAAGAGTCTAGATGTGGCTGGATCCAGACTTAGTCTCAGACTTGGTTAAAACTTAATCCCAGATTTGGTTAAATCTGGGGATTCCTATATCCATCCAGCCATGATTGTGCCAGCCCTGCTACAGCTCAGGTTCAAAGTGTGCCTGCCTGAGAAGGATACCCAAAGCTCAGGGCTTGAGAAGAGCTCCAGCTGCTCTGTGAAAATGGCTTGGCGAAGAGCACAGCCTGTTTCTACCGTGATCCCTCCTACTGGAGGGACACAGGAGAAGCAAGGTCTGCTTCTTCCCTGGAAGGAAGATGGGAAGATGGCTTCTTTCCATCCTTGGAGATCTTGACTTTTTCAGCCACCATCCCAGAAAGCTCCCTTCCTGGTAGCACTCCCTGCCCACTGAGGAGTGCCAGGAAATAATGATTAATTAATGTTCATGCTTCATGAGTGTGAACAGTGTAAATCCTGTCAGTTCACAGCTCTTTGCTCACATTTCCTTATGATCCTCGAATCCATGATGTCCCTGGGAAAGAAATGAAACACCTAAAACATCTCCCCTTAGACTGGGTAGCCTCCATTCTTTATAGTTTTATATCCATCCCCTTTTTAACTGCTTTCTGCCCCAGGATCCTCAGTATCCAGGAAAATGGATGTGTCTCTACTGCTCTTCCACTACCCATGTTCTCTGAAAAGGCCCCTTGTCCATGTTAACTGCCATATACAGAGTGTGTGAGCTGATGGAGAAAGCCAGAACAGCTGGTACTCACGAGCTGACACACAGTGGTGCAGGGGGAGGTAGATGTGGGCTCCTGACCTAGACAGGCAGCAGTTCAGCCGGGTTAATTTCTATATAAACACTTCTGTTTATGTAGTGGTTTCACCTAAAAGGCCCAATTTCATAGGTATGTTTGTGGATTGGTAACTATATCTACCTAAAATCTATCAAAAGAAGTGTGGTGGTTTTCTCCTCAAAAAAAAAAAAAATTTAAAAAAAAATAAATTTAAATGAAGTGGCCTTCAGTGCTGCCCAGGCTCTAATTGCAATGGCTTTGCTGAGTCCATAGCTCTGACCAGCCAGCCAAGCCTGCAGTGGAATAGAGCCTATCAAGGCAGGGCCTTTCAGATCTGCTTCTGCCTTAGGCCTGTCAGCACACCTGTCCTTGGCATGGTAACCTGGAGCTCCATCCACTCTTGAGACAACTGTGATACAGCTGAGGGAGGATGCCCCCACCCCAGACCAAGGACATCATACATGGATGTTTATGGGCACATGCTCTGAATTTCTCAACACAGAAAAAATTCATGAGTACAAGCAGGTCAGCTGTCTTTTCTTGGACCTTTTGTTTCAGCTTCTCTGCAGACTCAGGGTTGGCATCTAAGGCCCTATTTCAGAATGAAATCTGAGGTGGATCCTCTGCAAGTCATTTCTGACCTGGGAGTCTCATGGTGCACCACCTCCCTAGGACTATTCATTGTGTTTACCTGTAGCAGCCCATGATTTAAGCAAGCAGGAAGAAAGAGGAGGAAAATGACCAAATGACAACTGCAGTTAGTCTTTAAAGTGTATCTGTGAGGTGGAGCTATAGAAACTAGAGATGAATAAACCATTTTAGGCAAAGGAATCATGCAAGCCATGACACACAGAGTAATATAACCAAGGAAGCTGTTGGAACAAAGAATTGACAGTCTGAAGTAGGATGTATACTAATGAAAAGTCCTAAAGGTTCCTGTATTCCCTTTTGAAGGTCCTCAGATGGAAATAACTGTGTGCACAGTAAATGCATCACTTTGAAGACCTGCAGAACTTTCTGTACATGCTCTGAGCAAGCTCCCAGTGAATGTGTGCTTGATTAAGCAACTGCTTCTCCAAGAAGAGAAGATATGTGAAGAGAAAAGGAGGACACAACAAAGAAAACAAAAATGCAGGGTACTTTTACCTGTTCTGCAGCTTGGGGCACCATTAGAAGAGTGCAAATGGTTTTCTAGGCAGAAAACTGTCCTACCACTTGTTTCTGGGGGCTTTTCTTCGTGTCCTTTTGTCATGAAGAGCACTTTCCTATTGCAGAAGACAAGGCTTACCCAGTCAAACAGGCATCTCTGTGAGACATGGTTGCCTTGGGCTCCCTCTCCACTGAAGGGACGTGTACTCAGCCATGGGTGTGATTCATCTCACCCAAAGAAGACATTGAAAACAGATCAAATATGTGGTGTCCTAAGAATTACACATTTCTTTATTGCCTACAGAAGAAGTCTAGGTTGACATGCTCAGCTGGAAATATCTAGACTGAGATGAGATCAAGCTGATCCCCAGGGACCAAGATCTGCTGAGGTCTGTCTTTCAAATCTCACACCTTTGAGAACCTGAATGCTGTGACAGCTGAAGGATAATCCACATTGCACTCCAGCTTTGCAGATCAGTTCAGGCTGAACAAAACTCATCCCCTTGGGGCAGCTTTTGAAGAAAAGCAAACTGCCAGCATACATTCTTTTCCTATCAAATGCCAGGGTATCCAGCAGATAAAAAGGACCCTGTCTTTATTATATTATAAAGATACATTAGATAAGCCTGGTGAGATGATCACCTCTGGAGGTTGTTCCTGCAAGCAAGACCCTTTAGAAGGCTGGAGGATTTTTGCTAGTGGTGTTGGAAGAGGATTTGAACCCTGACCTAACAGAAATAGACCCATTGCTAGTCCCACAAACCCTACAATGCTATATAAAGCTTACAGTTTTTAAAGCTGGAAGCCAGGGAGATGAAGGCTTCATGTGTCTCTTCTCAGTAGACACAAACCAAGGAGAGTAAAACCTATGGTAGAATGAAGGAATTGCCATGGGCTTGTGAAATTGGGCATTTTGTTTTTTTTTTTTATTCCATCTTAATAAATTTGGTGTGAAGTGAAATAGAATTACTTGGCTCCACTGCTGTTCCGGCCGGTTTATTTATTTTTATAAGCCTAATATGAAACCCAAGTCCAATTATGACCTCCTTCCATGTGCTCTCCCCTCCAGCCTCCACCCAGAATAAATCACAGACCTGGTCTTTATAACAAGAATGTGAAACCACAACTCTGCTCCCCTAAACTGAAAAAAAAACCAAAAACCAAAAACCAAACCTACCAAATAAAAAATTTTAAAAAGCTGGCATGAGCCAATCGAGCAGGGGGAAAAATGCTGACAAAATTAGCACAAATGGTACCAATTAACATCTCCAGCCTTTGCCAACCACTAAATCATCCATATAGAAACTAACTTCACACCTCATCTTGCTGCTGGGGATGTAAATGCAAGTCCAGCGTGCTAGCTGAAATCCCAGCAAGTCCAGCCTGCTAGCTGAAATCCCAGCAACTCCAATTTTCCCCTTTCCAGGTCTAGCAAGAAGTCTGCACGTTTGCTTGCTGGAAGCAACAGTTTCACCCTTTCCAGTGCAATCCAGAAAAGTGATGATCCCCTCCTCCAGCATCATTAACACTTCAGCTTGGATCCTGAAAACCTTTCCATGCAAAGGCTGGTGAGCTTGTGTGCACACAAGGAGCTCCACATCTGTGGAGGGACTAACGGAAATCAAATGCCCAATGAATGGATGAAAATATAGCTGTGAAGGACATAGGCCAAGGAGGCTTTTAACTGACTTTCAGTGAACTGAACTTCTACTGAACTTGGCAGGGTGCAAACACAGATTAGGACTGGCTCTGCAAAAGGCAGATGCATCAAAGAAACTACAAGAAGGTATCAGTCAACATCAAAAGCAGTATTTAGTCTCATATCCAGCAGCCCAGCTGCAGTCTGTCTGCTGGATCTAGGCAAAGGATACTTTTGAGGATTAATTTCATGAAATAGGTACAAAACACTTGCAGGACAAGGAATTCAGGCACAGAGCAAGCATGCAGAGAGAATGAAAGAAACCCACAGTTGCAAATAATTTGGTTACCAAATGTGAGCTACTGCACAGTGTCTGAGCTATGATCTCCCCCTTTAGCAGATGCAAAGCAACTCAAAGCAGGTCCTCTCTCACAGAAAGAGTGAGAAATTGCTCATCTTCTCCAGGAGAAATGGGTGTCCATGATGGAGGTCATTCCA